GCCAGCCCTGATAAATTCAAATATCAAGAAAAATCCTGATCCAAACATATGGGAGCTGCCTATCCCACCCCCAGGATTTCTTCTAGAGGGTTGACAATGATCCTGGGTGTGACAGGCTGTCCTCCAGGTACTCAGAGACTTGTACTGTCTGTCCCTTCCCCCACCCCCCTGTTTTTAGTAACTTGCACACATTCCCCCCTGCAATGACAGTGTCTACATAGATGTGGATTGGAGAATTCTCAGGGAAGCTACCAGCAGGTTGTCTTATGGGCTTTTATAAGGAGAGAGAGAGGGAACCAGCGAGAAAGTGAATGCCCACCCACTGGTTTACCCTCCAAACGCTTGCAACAGCTGGGGCTGGGCCAGGCCGAAACAAGGAACCGGAAACCCAACCCAGGCCTCCCATGTGAGTGGCAGGAACCCAAGTACTCAAGCCATCATCTACTGCCTCCTGGGTGCGTTAGCAGGAAGCTGGATCAGAAGTCGAGGTGGAACTGAATCCCAGGCCTCCAATATAGGATAAGAACATCCCATGGGGCGGCTTAACCTACTGCACCACAGTGTGTGCCCCTCAACTTCTAAAAAAATTTCATTTATTTATTTAAAAGTCAAAGTTACAAAAGGAAAGAGAGATCTTCTATCTGCTGGTTCGTTCTCCAAATGGCTGCAACAACAGGACTGGGCCAAGAGCAAGGAGTTCCACCCAGGTCTCCCATGTGGGTGGCAGATGGCCCATGCATTTGAGCCATCTTTGGCTGCTTTTCCAGTGGCATCAGCAGGTGGATTGGAAACCCAGGGCAGCCGGACTCGACCAGGTAGGATGCCAACATTGCAGGGGGAGACTTTACCCACTGCGCTACAACTTTTTTTTTTTTTTTTTTTTTAATTTCCATGTCCAGATTCAAGAAGGATTTCACCCCTTTCCTGTGGCAGACTATGAAGAGAAACGAGAGAGCCTGGACGTCTCCTGATCTCCCAGCTGACCCGGTCCCAGGAAGCCCAAGTCTTGGAAGTGTGCGTCCCTGCAGTGGGCAGTGGGTCTTGCAGGAGGGTTGCAGGCAGCAGCAGCGGTCTGGGGGCTGTTGGTGATGCGGGGACGTCCCCTAGGAAGCAGCCGGCTTCTCAGAGACAGAACAACTCACGCCACTGTGTGTGTCCTCCGTGGGGGCTGGGTGTTTCCCTCAGCTGCTGTCATAAAATGCCACTGCGGAAGCAGGGACCGAAAACCACACGAATTCATCATGGCCCGGTTCTAGAAGTCAGAAATCTGCAAAGGGCCTGCCCGGGGCTGGTTCCTTCTGAAACTCCAGGGAGAAAGCCGGCGCCGCGGCTCACTAGGCTAATCCTCCGCCTAGCGGCGCCGGCACACCGGGTTCTAGTCCCGGTCGGGGCGCCGGATTCTGTCCCGGTTGCCCCTCTTCCAGGCCAGCTCTCTGCTGTGGTCAGGGAGTGCAGTGGAGGATGGCCCAGGTGCTTGAGCCCTGCACCCCATGGGAGACCAGGAAAAGCACCTGGCTCCTGGCTCCTGCCATCGGATCAGCGCGGTGCACCGGCCGCAGCGCGCCGGCCGTGGCGGCCATTGGAGGGTGAACCAACGGCAAAGGAAGACCTTTCTCTGTCTCTCTCTCTCACTGTCCACTCTGCCTGTCAAAAAATAATAATAAAAAAAAAACTCCAGGGAGAACCCGCTCCCTGCCTTCCCAGCTTCTGCCCTGGGGAAACTATTTTTTTTCTGCCCAGGGCCATTTGGATATTTATAACATCTTCCGCAGGCCGTACAAAATTACCAAAAAATGTAGCCTGCTGTAGATGTATTGGATTTCAAGTCCCACCTGTGGTTGTCTCGGCGGGGGCAGAATGATTTCATTGGCCTTAGGCGGCCCGTGGGCGGGCCAGTCCCCACCCTGGTGAGATGGCCTGTGTCCCTCGGCCTGTGGTCCCTTCCTCCTCATCTTGAGGGCCAGCACTCCGACCCCTACTTCTTCCATCACCGCTCCTTGCTCTGCTTGTCACCCTCTCACTGCCCTCGTGATTGTATGGGGCCCACCCACATACTCCAGGGTCACCCTCCTGGGTTAGTCACAACGGCGGAGGCCCTTACACCCTGGAAGGTGGCCTAGCCACAGGTTTGGGGGCCGAGGCATGGACATCGCCAGGACTCCTTATTCCATCTGTCACAGTGGTCTGCGGGGATCCCCATTCTATCACTTGTTGTAGTGACAGGTCTGTGCCCAGGAGCCGATAGCTCGTGTCTACATCTCGGTGCTTAGAATTCTCGTGCTACCTGGCAAGATTCATCCAGGGAGTTTTTGTAGAAAGCACTATCTTGGTCTCATCTAAGCCCTATGGATTTTTAAAAAAGATTTATTTATTTATTTGAAAGGCCACATTATGGGTGGGCAGTGGAGTGCAGTCGGAGAGGGATCTTCTGTCTGCTGGTTCACTCCCCAGATGGCCTCCATGCCCAGGGCTGGGCCAGACTGAATGGCATCCAGGTCTCCAACATGGGTGGCAGAGGCCCCAAGCACTTGGGCCATCTTCTGCTGCTTTCCCAGGCACATTAGCAAGGAGCTGAATCGGAACTGGAGCAGCCGGGACTTGAACCAGCGCTCATATAGGAAGCTGGCGTCACAGGCAGTGAGTGACTTAACCCACTGCACCACAACGACAGGCCCCAGGCTCCACTTCTGAGTTTAGGAGCTGGCACTTGAAACAACCCCTTGTATGATTTTCAAGCACATTCAGATTTGGTGATGGCCATTCTAGACCGAATGAGCTGTTGACTGACACAGTGGACTGGCACATCTGAGGGCGTCCCTGAGCCCCCAGCCATCAGTGAGCACCCCTTGTTTTCTCTGCCCGATGTTTGCATCTTTTGTCCTCCAGTTACACTAGGAGTCCCAGGAGAGGAAGGATTGTCCTGACTTTGCCTTTAGCTGCAGTGCCTGGCTCCTTGCAGGAGCTCCACAAACAGGACACCCCAATATCCTGGCTGTCCCCAGACAAGGCAGGGGACACCTGGGAGAGGGCAGGGAAGCCCCCAGCCCAAAACCAGTCCGTATGCCGAGCTGTTTGGAGAAACCAGCACAGGCGACCCCATGGGACTTGGGAACAAAACCATGGAGTACCTCCGCGGGTCTGGGAGGCAGAGTGGAAGCCCACGGCGCCTATCAAATGCACTCACTGATGGATGTCACTTCTGCAGGGACAGGAGAGAGAAGAGCACGGGGCTGGGGACGAGGAGGGATCCTAGCTCCGACTCTGCCATTAAGTAGCTGAGTAGCTTTGGGCAAATCCCAACCCCTCCATGGGCTTCCAGAAATGGAGGGCTTGGATAAAACTCCCTCTGACACGGGTTCCGCCTGGGATCCCGCGCTTGCACGGTGGTCAGGTAGAGGGGTGATTTTCTAGGCTAATTGAGCTTTGCCCCCAATTCCACCCTCTCCGAGAAAGAGACTCTTTATTATTCACTTATTAGAACATTGCTTTAAATAGCACCTCAATTTGCTCTCTCACCCATCAGGCTGGGGTCTCCATGGAGAAGCGGGTGCCCACGGGAGCGCTCTGTCGTCTACGTGCAAGAAGATTCTGTCGGCAGCGGGAGCCCGGGTCTCCCCCACCAGGGATGGAACCTGCTCCCATTTCATTTCCATGTGGGGTGATTCTCAGGCTATGACAATTAAGAAGGAGGAAAAACCATTTGCATTTTTCCTGGGTGTTAATGACCTTCCAAACCAGTGTTCAATTGTCTGGTTTAAAGCAGTGAAGCATGCATTAGCATGAATAATTCAAAGACCACGGAGTTCTCCCACACACGGGGTGCGAACCATATTTTTGACCTAGTTCCTAAAGTTGAATCCGTTCATGCACCCCCATATATACACGGTTTCCATTTTTTAAGGGATGTGTTCTTTTACTCAAAGATATCATAGCCTAAGTAAACTCCGTGTCAAGGTTTGGGGACTTAAATTGATGAAGTAGAGACCTAATTTGTTTTACATAACCTGCAGCCTTAAACTTAATTAATTTTCCGTTTGGGGCACGCAGGCACCTACTGGTTAGGTGTGATAGGCTCCGCAGGCATGGTAAATACACAGACAAAGGGAGAGAGAAAGATCCAGAAACCCAGGACAATCTCAGAGGAGTCTGAGGTGTTTGTGGCACTGGACTGTGATGGGGGCTTGGGTGCTGGCCACAAGTGACCAGCAGGGACCAGAAGTGGTCAGAATGGGGGGAGAACCTCAGGTGCTCATGAGACAAGGGTGAGGTTCTAGCTCCCACCAGGGCCACTGCTTTTCCCGAGGGAGCCTCAAACCCACAGATAAACGGGATACTCTCCCGAGCAGAGTTCTGGAAGACTCCCTTCCATATAGCAGGGCCCGCTGCATCAGTGTCACCTGTGTGTGCTGCTGCTTCTGCGGGATCCTGGGCCCCCCTGAAGCCACGTCAGCAAAACTTTGGGGCCAGGCCTCGGGGAGCCATATTTTACATGTGCTCCCCACATGATTTTTTTTAAAAGCTTTATTTATTTACTTGAAAGGCAGAGTTACAGACAGAGTGAGAGACAGAGAGAGAGGTATTCCATCCGCTGGTTCACTCCCCTAAATGGCCATAATGGCTAGAGTTGGGCCAATACAAAGCCAGGAGCCGGGAGCTTCTTCTAGGTCTCCCACTCGGGTGCAGGGGCCCAAGCACTTGGGCCATCTTCTACTGCTTTCCCAGGCCATCAAGAGGGAGCTGGATCGGAAGTGGAGCAGCTGGTACTCCAACCAGCGTCCTTATGGGACGCTGGTACTACAGGCAGATGCTTAGCCTACTACGCCGCAGAGCCAACCCCCATGATTTACTAGCTCACTTTCCCAATGGCAACCCGGGCTGTGCCAGGCTGAAGCCAGGAGCCAGGAGCTTCTTCCATGTCTCTCACATGGGTACAGGGGCCCAGACACTTAGGCCATTTTCTACTGCTTTTCCCAGGTGGATCATAAGTGGGGCAACTGGATTTGAACTGGGGCTCATAAGGGGTGCTGGCATCATAGGCGGCAGCCTAACCTGCTGTACCACCACAGGAAGCCTTCCTCTCCGGGATTCTTATGCAAATTTGTGTTAGCTTCCTAGGTCCACAAACTTGGTAGCTTAAGATACCAGTTGGTACAGGTATAATTAAGATAAAGTCATACTGGAGTTTCTCATTGCAGGGCCACCAGGCTAAAACACTTACCATGTTCTCACTGCGGCACGATGCAGCCGGAGGCCGCCATGCAGAGCAGGTAGCAGGTGCTCCATGGTTTTCTACATGGATACATGGTGGTCCTGGGGTTTTATTAGGATGAGCTGTTTATGGAGGAAGCAGTATTGTAAAAGAGACCCATTTCTTGTTTTATTCAGGGTTCTGTGCACTCTGGATGTGCTGGGTCCTTTTCTCCCACTGAGGAGTGTGTGGTGGGGGCCCAAGAGCAGTTCCTCCCCCTGGTGTGCCCGAGACTGTCATCTGGAGCCTGGCAAGTTGGGTAAGGCCAGCAGCGGAGAGCAGGGCTGTCAGTGGTTCTACGCTTTTGTATTTCTTGGTGGATTCAGCTTAATGCTTGTGATCTCATCTGCCTAGACAGCAGCTGACCCTGACCCTGACCCTGACCCTGGTATGTGGGTATGCCCCCTACTAAAACAGCAACTTACTGTTACTAAGGTAGGTAAAATGAAGTATGACCTGATAAAGTGGGCAAGTACTCACAAGAGGGGTAACTTTTGTTGGCAGCCCAAGTCCTTTGAAGGCTCAATGATGCTAACGGTCATAATAGCTGACATTTACAGAACGCTTAGTATGTGCTAGCCAACTATGCACTTTAACATTCAAGCCTTACGGCTTCTCTACTATTAATCGCAATGTATAGGTAATGAGATTGGTGGTTTTGAGAATTTAGGTTACTTGACTACACTTACACTGCTAGTGAGTAGGAGACAAATCTGTATCTTTCTGGCTCCAGACTTGGAAAATCCTAATGACCGTGTGTCTTCCATTTCTATGTTCTGCTACTCCAAAGCTGCATGAAGCCAAAATATAGGACTAACTTTCTGATACAAAAGAGCCCGTTAGCCGGAGTCGGAGGATACATGACCTGCACACAGCAGGTGCCAGCCTCACACGGGTTGTAGCCTTTATTAATGAATGAGTGAGGACAGGTGTAACGGCTGTTTGTATCCTCCACTTCCCACCCTGACAGCACTCAAATCAGTTGCCCCTGCCAGAGTGACTGAGACTCCGTGGGATGTGGCAGGCAGTGTGGCAGAAGAAGGCCCGGTGGGGGTACTCAGGACAGTCACAAGGATGGGGCCTGGGACGGGGGAAAAGGGACTGAAGATGCCGTGATTTCTTCTTTTTCTTTTAATGTTTCATTTTAATTTGCAAACACTTTTAAAAAAAGATTTATTCATTTATTTTGGAGGCAGATTTACAGACAGACAGACAGACAGACGGAGGGAGAGAGAGAGAGAGAGAGAGAGATCGGTCTTCCATCTGCTAGATCACTCCCCAAATGGCCGCAACAGCTGGAGCTGGGGCAGTCTGAAGCCAGGAGCCAGGAGCTTCTTCCAAGTCTGCCATGTGGGTGCAGGGGCCTGAACACTTGGTCCATCTTCTGCTGCTTTCCCAGGCAGGGAGCTGGATGGGAAGTGGAGCAGCCCGGACTTGAACCGGCGCTCATATGAGATGCCAGTGCTGCGGGCAGAGGCTTCACCTAATACACCACGGTGTTGCCCTCTGGATGCCATGATCTCAACCCAAAAGGAAGGTGGTGCTGTTGGTAGAAGTGGGAGGAGGAGCTGGTCAGGGAGGAGAGACCCTGGGCAGGAGGCAGAACTGTGGTGGGCATCTCTGCAGGGAAGAGAACTAGAGAGGGTTGGACTCCAGGTTAGAGATGTGGACCCAGCTTCCCCATTGCTGGAGAGCCCATCAACCACTTGGTTTCCTCATTGTGAAATGCACAACTGTGTTTGTCAGGGCTGTCCAGAGAAGCTGAAGCTATAGTGGGGTGTGTATGTGTGTGTGTGTGTGTGTGTGTAGAAAGTTACAATAAGGAATTCACTTGCTTGTATAAAGAGGCCAAGAGGTCCCATAATCTGCCTGTGCAAGCTGGGCCCCCAGGGAAGCTGGGGTGTGATTCCAGTGCAAGCCGGAGGACCTGAGACCCAGGATGGCCCACGACCCGTGTGAGAGCAGGTGCAGCCTCAAGTCCCAGCCTGACCAGGCAGACAGCGAGAGTGAGCTGTGTCTTGCTCAGGCTCTGTTGTTCCAGACAGGCTCTCAGGGACGAGGAGGAGGCCCACCCACACTGGGGAGGGCCGAGGGTCTTGCTCACCCCACTGCCTGGTGTGGGAATCATGCTCTCACAGAAGCACGGTTAACCAAGTCTCTCGGCGCCTGTGGCCCAGTCGTGCCATCACAAGGCATCAGCTATTAAAGACCTGCGGGGGAGTTCAGCGTAAGCCATGAGTTCCCAGTGCCTGTAGCGAGAGAACCAGGCCAGCAGCCAGGGGAGAGAGGGTTGAAAGCCGTCCCCGTCGCTGCTGTCCCAGGGACGGCTCTCCACCCACAAGGGGTCTCCTTGGGAGGTCGGCGGCGAGGACCGTCGGGTGAGATTTTAGTTTCTTGTGCTGGAGTCCAGGCAGGGGGAGGCAGCCTCCCCAGGAGCCTTCACCATCGTGTCCAGGCCTCAGGGGCGGCCGTGGGCAGAAGCCCATCCGCGACGCTGCTCATCTCGGAATACCGTGGTGACGGCTGCTGGGCTGTGCGGGCGCCCGGGCTGGCTGCTTTGGTAGAAACAGGTGTGCCTTCGCTTGATAACTAGAGGGACTTCCCTCCCTGAAGATTTCTTTGGTAAGCCCGTACCTTGGCCCACTTTTCTACCGTGTGGCTCTGTGTCCTCAGCTAATTCTCCCAAACCTCTCCTCATCTTTTCTCCTGGCTTCTCCGCTCCTGCTTGGGAGCCGGCGAGTGAGCTTTGATAAATCTATCAGCTCTAACCACCGGGATTCAGGCCACTTCTCTGACGAGTGGCAAATCTCTCCTGAAGTCCTTAGCGCTGAGCCTTGGTGAATTTGAAGGTAAGCCCCGGGTTTTTCTTAAACGGACAGCATTACAGGAAAAGGTATCTTTTAAAAAATGCTGTAAAATTCCTTTTGCAAGATCACTTGTCCTGGCTTGCTGAGTTCTTAAGAGACCCTACTAAGGCAGCCTTAGAAAGTTGGGGCAACTGGCTCAATGCCCCCCTGTCGGTTCTGGTGGGAACAAGTCTGGTCTCTCTGAAACACGCCCCACACTTTCGGTTGAGCTGCTGTAGTCATTTGGAGCTAGCAGCTTTTAGTGTGTGTGCATGTGTGTATGGATGTGTGAGTACTATGCACAAAAGGGCATGTGCAGAAACGTGTACATGTGTGCATGTGTTTTAGGCCAGTACCCATGTGGCAAAGGAACACAACCCTCCTGATGTGTTCTTCTCACTAGGTGGAGGGAGATCTTCCAGCACGGATCCGATGAACCCCACAGGATTCTAGGTACAGCTCCAGGTCTCCACAGGGAATGGATACCAGCTGCCCCCACTCCCCAGGTTGCCACTGTTTGAGTGTCGATTTCTTCTTCTTCTTCTTCTTTTTTTTTTTTTTTTTGACAGGCAGAGTGCGGCCAGCGCACTGTGCTGATCCGATGGCAGGAGCCAGGTACTTATCCTGGTCTCCCATGGGGTGCAGGGCCCAAGCACTTGGGCCATCCTCCACTGCACTCCCAGGCCACAGCAGAGAGCTGGCCTGGAAGAGGGGCAACCGGGACAGAATCCGGCGCCCCAACCGGGACTAGAACCTGGTGTGCCGGCACCACAGGCGGAGGATTAGCCTAGTGAGCCGCAGCGCCGGCCTTGGCCCGGGGACTCTTGGCAGAGTCTGGAGAACAAAGCTTCAGGCCTACAGTCACTAATTGCTTAATACAACCACACACTTAACAGAAAACTCGGAGAGGGTTAAACCCCTTTGAGGATGGAGTTTGCTCCACACCTTCTGGGGGCAGGAGGAGGACAAAAGACAGGGGAGCGGCTGGGGGGCACTAGGAGGCAGAGAGAATACATTGTTTAAGGCCCCAGTCAGTGGACTTTGTTACAACAGCCCCCAGAAACTGATATTGACCTAATTTTCTTCTTCTTCTTCTTCTTCTTCTTCTTCTTCTTCTTCTTCTTCTTCTTCTTCTTCTTCTTCTTCTTCTTCTTCTTCTTCTTTTTTGACAGGCAGATTTAGACAGTGAGAGAGAGAGAGAGAGACAGAAAGGTCTTCCTTTCCATTGGTTCACCCCCAAATGGCTGCTACAGCCTGAGCGCTGCGCCGATTCTGAAGCCAGAAGCCAGGTGCCCCCACCTGGTCTCCTATGCAGGTGCAGGGCCCAAGCACTAGGGCCATCCTCCACTGCACTCCTGGGCCACAGCAGAGAGCTGGACTGGAAGAGGAGCAACCGGGACAGAATCCAGTGCCCCAACCGGGACTAGAACCCGGGGTGCCGGCGCTGCAGGCGGAGGATTAGCCTAGTGAGCCACGGCGCCAGCCCAGACCCCATTTTCACAAAGATAAATGACGGCACAAATCCCCTCCATGTGAGTGTGGACAAACCTGCGGTATGGACGTTTGTGTCAGGAGCCGAGTCAGTGGCCTTGGGGAGGGGCAGAGGAGAGGGCCAGCCAACCTTTGCCTTTTGGGCATTCCTTCTGTCATTGCAAAAAGCAGTGACAACTGTCTGGGAAACAAAAAGAAAACTATTAGAGGCCGGCGCCAGGGCTCACTTGGTTAATCCTCCACCTGCAGTGCCGGCATCCCATATGAGCGCCTGGTTCTAGTCCTGGTTGCACCTCTTCTAGTCCAGCTCTCTGTGGCCTGGGAAGGCAGTGGAGGATGCCCAAGTGCTTGGGCCCTGCACCCAGATGGGAGACCAGGAAGAAGCACCCGGCTCCTGGCTTCAGATCAGTGCAGTGCCAGCTGTAGTGGCCATTTGGTAAGTGAACCAATGGAAGGAATACCTTTCTCTCTGTCTCTCTCTCTCTCTCACTGACTATAATTCTACCTGTCAAATAAATTTAAAAAAAGAAAGAAAGAAAGAAAACCATTAGAGACAGAGAAATTAAAAGAAAAATACACACCAGATTCAACTGAGGTTACCAATTTTCAGAACTTTGCAGAAATTCTGTATAAAACTGCTTATTTTTTAAAAGAAAGTTAAATGGGCGTAGGAAGTAGAAATTTGTAGAAAAGGAAAAATGTCTGCATTTCTCTCATTAATGCTTCATTTAGGTGTTAAGTGCGTCTATGTTACTCTCAGAGCATTACACTGTATTATTTATGAGCTGATTTGCTGGTGAAATTACCATATTTTGTCTTTCAGTACGGAAGGACATTTTCCTGTAGCTCTGTAGAGAATTTCAAGGTCACCAACTCCAGAGGAATGCAGTTCCAAATCTCAAATCCTTGAGCAGATTTTAAAAAAATTATTTATTTATTTGAAAGGCAGAGGGATGGGGGACAGGGGACAGCGAGAGAGAGAGAGAGAGAGAGAGATCTTGCATTCACCGACACACTCCCCAAATACGTGCAACAGCCAGGGTTGGGCCAGGCTGAAGCCAGGAGCCAGGAACTCCATCCAGGTCTCCCATATGGGTGGCAGAAACCCAAATACTTGGCTCCAAGGTGCATTAGCAGGGAGCTGGATTAGAAGTGCACACTAGTAGGGTTTCAGACCGGGCATTCTGACATGGGGATATGGGATGGGATGTGGGAATATGGGCTGTCCGGAGGCAGCTTAACCAGCCTCCCCTTTGGGTAGGTCCTTACTCCCTCTTGTCTACTTGGCCTTGAAGACTTTTGTGCCAAGAGTGTAGGACAGTTTGTGCTTTCTGCTCCGGCGAGGAACGATGCTGCCTGTGTTCCTGGGCTGTCTTGTCTGCATCGAGGGCTGGAGGCAGACTTCAGTTCCGGGGATTATGATGGGCAAGGATGGGTAACAGCAGCCGTGGGGGCTCCTTTCCCTCGGGAAGTGACAGAGCCCTGGGCAGGCACGCATCTGTCCTTTGATTCCAAATCTGCACCCTTGGCTTTGCCTCTTTGTTCACACACTTTATTTAGTGACACCGTGAGGGGCCAGTGCTGTGGTGTAGTGGGTTAAGCCTCCGCTTGCAGTGCTGAGATCCCGTATGGGCGCCAGTTAGAGCCCTGGCTGCTCCATTTCTGATCTGGCTCTCTGCTGTGGCCAGGGAAAGCAGTAGAGGATGGCCCAAGTCCTTGGGCCCCGCACCCAAGTGGGAGACCCGGAAGAAGCTCCTGGCTCCTGGCTTTGGATCGGCACAGCCGTTGTGGCCGATTAGGAAATAAACCAGCAGCTGGAAGATCTCTCTCTCTGCCTCTGCCTCTCTGTAGCTCTGCCTTACAATAAATAAATAAATCTTAAAACAAACACCTAATGGATGTCTTAATACGACTGGGTTCTTTAGGAAGCGTGGAGTGCCACATTGCGTACTCACTCCATCAGTTAGTCAGGCAGCCAAGGTAGGGAGAGAGACTCTACCAGCCTTGCCTCCCTGACTCCTCAGCTCCTAACACAGCACTTAGTAGGCACTCACTGAATACAGTCAACCCTCAGTGCCTGCAGTGGATTCCTTCCAGAATCCTCTATGGATACCAAACCCCAAGGATGCCCAAATATCTCATAACATAGCCCAGCATTTGCGTAAAGCCCACGTACGTCATCCCGGATTCTTCCAGCCATTTCTAGATTGCTTGTGAGCCCGAGCACCACATGGGTGCTGTGTAAACAGTTGTTAGGGAACAATGGCAAGAGAATGTGGTTGAACCCAGGGATCCGGAGGGCTGGTTGTATCTGTGGAACCAATGGACATTGCAGAGTGACAGTTACAATGTTTCACCTCAATGTGCTCCTAACCCAGCGGGGGCTCCCCAGCACCTCAAGGGAGGAAACACAGAGGTACCAGCACTGCCCAGTGCCATCCTGGGTGCTGCTTCTTTCACACACTTGCCAGGAGTTGAAGATGCTTTGAGAGGAAGCTGCTTCCCTGACGACCCGGCCGGGACTCTGGCTTTGTCCCCAGAGGGCAGCTAGGCCGTCTTCACTGCTCAGGTGCTATCTATCTATGTCACTTGCCCTGCACAGAGGTCTTGCCCACCCTGGCCCATTGGCCTTCCTGATCCCACAATGCATCCATCTTCCTCTCCTGAGGACCCACATCGTGACAGGGTGTGACAGTGGGAAGCACATTGAACTTGGCACATGGAGACCTGCCTCTTCTGCTTGGCTGGGGGACTGGCTACACACACTCCGCAGGTGTAGCCTGCTACGCGCTAGGCAGTGCTCACACCTTCCCTGCCTGCCTCCAAGCCACCGGGTGTGTCATCTTCAGGTTACAGATGGGAAAGCTGACACTGGGCAGGGAAAACTGTGGGCCTCCTCTGCCTCGGGGCCCCCATGGCTTCTGCCGAAGCCTCTGCTGAGACTGTCACAGACCAAAGATTTCCAGGGCTTCCTGCCCTCGTCCCATGATGCTCTCCCAGTAACTTCCTGCCGGGTGACCCCAAGGCCACCCTGCTGCTCCAGCCCTGCTCCTGGCTCTCATCAGCTCCAGAACTTTCCCTCCAGTGGGGTCCTTTGGTCTCTACCCACCCTGCTGCTAGAGCAGCCTCTCTAAGATGCGACATGGTGAGGTCAGCACCTGCACACACCCTCCACGCTCCCCACTGCCCACATGATGGAGCCCACACCCCTCAGCAGGATTGCCAAGGCCGGGGCACCTGACGCTCCTGGTCTCCTGGGCCCCCTGTAACTTCCAGCCAGAGCACCCCCCCACTCTCCCAGTTCCCTTCCTCACCTTCTCTGCCAGAGGAACACAGAGGAGGGGATCCCCCAAAAGTGCATGAAAATGAATATAATGAAAACACTTGAATGGGTTTGAAAATTGGGGGCACCAAAATAAGCTTGTGTTTTTATTGCATTTCCACGAGGTTTTTGAAATACCCTCATATTTCTTTTTTTTAAAGATTTATTTATTTACTTGAAAGTCAAAGTTACACAGAGCAAGAGAGAGGTCTTCCATCCGCTGGTTCACTCCCCAGATGGCCACAATGGCCGGAGCTGCACCCATCCGAAGCCAGGAGCCAGGAGCCTCCTCTAGGTCTCCCACGTGGGTGCAGGGCCAAGCACTTGGGCTGTCCTCTACTGCTTTCCTAGGCCATAGCAGAGAGCTGGATGGGAAGTAGAGCAGCTGGGACTCGAACTGGCGCCCATATGGGATGCCGGCACTGCAGGCGGTGGCTTTACCCACTATGCCACAGTGCCAGCCCTGAAATACCCTCACAGGCCTTCCCTGTGCCTCCAGAATGTGCAACTCTCCAGCTTCTTCCGTCCCAGGATACGGGAGCCATCGTGATCCCACCCAGATCAGCTGGGGGACGCCGAGGTTCTCCAGGGCAGGGACCCTGCCTGAATCATCACCAGCCCCAAACCGTCAGGAGGGAGGGAGCAACAGCTCTGTGCGCTCCGCTATCTGCAGAAGAGGGGTCTGTCTCCTGGCACAGAGACCAAGTGTGATGTTGTGAAACTGGGACTGAGTTTAGCCCATGGAGGCCCGGCTCTTTGGATTGCAGCTGGGGCACCTGGGGCATCCGCGCTGCCTCAGTTTCCCTGGCGGTTGTCTGATGAGCTAACGTTCCCAGTCTGCATCCAGTGCACTCCAGCATTTGGTTTAGATGGGTCGAGATCTTTGGGGCTGACGCCTGGATTCTTATTTAAGACTGACCAATAAGGAGGAGAGATTATTGCATTACCCAACATCCGTGGCAAAGGTCTGTGAGTGCTAAGGGGTGTGGGTGGTGGGCGGGCAGGGGGGCCACGCCAAGGTTGAACTCTGTGAGTACCCTTCTCAGGGAAGCTATGAGAGGGGCTGTGGGAAAAGCAGGGGCAGGAATCCCCGGCCCTGAGAAGCAGTCGGGGGTGGGGTGGGGTGGGCTGGTGGCGCTTCAGCAGGGCTCCTGGAGAGGAAGCGCACTTGTGGATGCTGGACCACTTCCCTGAGGATTACTGAAAAAGCAGAGGGCTGAAGGGGGCTCATGGCCAGGGAATGGGCAGAGCTGTGGGTGTTTCTGCGGCTAGATGTGGCACTCCTTCTCTACAGAGGGCACACTCGTCCCTAGTCCCAATCTCACAGGAGGCCAGGGGCAGGTAGCTGGGAGCCCTGGGGAGTCCATCAAGGCCAAACAAGGCAGCAGGATTTTGGATGCTGGACCTGTGCCGCTCTCCCAGGGCCCCCACAGTGTGGACAAGGCGTGTGCCTTCTCTCAACAGCAGCCAGAGGCAGGAGGAGGAAGCGGGTGAGGGGGATCTGGAAGAGAGGCCAGACACAAAGCAAATGAGCCCAGCTTGTCTGCACCCAGGCCTGAGATTTAGAGAGATTTGGGGACCCGGAGAGCAGCAGAGCAGAGCGAATCTCAGTGGCAGCGAGAATCCTCCCAATGCCCACGGAGCCCTCTGGTTTCTCCAAAAGAACAGCTCCCAAGAGCACGGGGCTTATGGGATTCGCCCGGGAGACAGGAAATCGTCATTAGAGAAGGAGGCTGCTTCCAAGCCGAAGACTCTCCCGCATGCACGTGTGCACACACGCTCTCACATGCACATGCCCTTGCACACTCACACGCATCCACACCCATCCTGCGACCTTTCAACAACCGCCGAGTCCCCAGGCCCGATGGCTTGATGGCTCCGAGCTGCAGCCTTCCTGGGCTTCCTTCTTGATCTTCTCAAGCTAAAACCTGCATTATTAGGATTCTGATTTCCTATTCAGCTCCCAGCAGCCCGGGGTTAGGTGCTGAGCAAACGAAGTCAGATAAGGTCTGTGGCACAGCGCCCAGCCCCCACCAGCTCCGCGCCAGGAGAGGGGTAGGGCTGGGAGGGGCACAGCAGCACCACACTGCACACACTTGCACACACGTCACGTCCATTATGACAGCATCCAGATCACTTGGATTTGAATCCCAGCCTGCTATGTGTGAGCTTTTTTTTTTTTTTTTTTTTGACAGGCAGAGTGGACAGTGAGAGAGAGAGACAGAGAGAAAGGTCTTCCTTTGCCGTTGGTTCACCCTCCAATGGCCGCCGCGGCCGGCGCACCGCGCTGATCCGATGGCAGGAGCCAGGAGCCAGGTGCTTTTCCTGGTCTCCCATGGGGTGCAGGGCCCAAGCACCTGGGCCATCCTCCACTGCACTCCCTGGCCACAGCAGAGGGCTGGCCTGGAAGAGGGGCAACCAGGACAGAATCCCAACCGGGACTAGAACCCGGTGTGCCGGCGCCGCAAGGTGGAGGATTAGCCTAGTGAGCCGCGGCGCCGGCCGTTTTTTTTAAGATTTATTTGTTTGGAAGTCAGAGTTACACAGAGAGAGGGAGACACACACACACACACACACACACACACAGATCTTCCATCTGCTGGTTCACTCCCCAGAGAGCTGCAATGGCTGGAGCTGGGCCAGGTTGAAACCAGGAGCCAGGAGCTTCCAGGTATTCCACATGGGGGCAGGGACCCAAGCACTTGGACCATCCTCTGGTGCTTTTCCCAGGCTCATTAGCAGGTAGCTGGGTCAGAAGTGGAGCAGCTGGGATTCGAACCAGCGTCCATATGGGAGGCCAGCATTGCAGGCAGTGGCTTGGCCTGCTACGCCACAGCGCCTGCCCTGAGATGTATGGTTTTGAATAAACACTTGAACATCCCTGGGCTTTGATCTCCACATCTTTCACATGGGGACAACAGCACCCACCTCAAAAGCTGGCTTTGAGGATTCAATGCAATGGGCCAGGACTGAGTGTAGGTCCGGGCTGGTCAGGGTGTACGGGCTGAGCTGATGGCACTTGGCTCTCAGCACACACGTGGGGAATTTGGGGGCCAGCCCCTTTCCACAGGGAACAGCCCCCTGAGCCTCCCTCTAGAACTCTGCCTCCTTCCTGGGCATCTAGCAAACTCCACCTCAAGGACCCCATGTGAAAAGAGAATTCAGAAACAGGTTAAGCCTCTGGGATGCTTTGGTGTTCAAATGAGAGAAAAGCTGAGAAAATCATTATCATCGATTCTCCTGAACTAAATCCTAAATATGGCGAGATTTACTGTCTTTTTAATGAAACATTTTTATTTATTTTCATTTTATTAGAAAGGCAGAGAGACAGAAAAAGAAAGAGAGACAGATACAGAATTAGATAAATACAAAATGAGACCTTCTATCCATTGGTTCACTTCCCAAATACCCACAACAGCCAGAGCCAGGCCAGGCCAAACCCAGGAGCCTGGAACTCTGTGTGGGTCTCCCACGTCAATGTCAGGGGCCCAACTACTTGAGCTGTCATCTGCTGCCTCCCACGGGCATTAGCAGGGAGCTGGATCCTAAGTGGAGCTGCCGAGACTAGAACCAGCACCCATACAGGAGGCTGGTGTCTAAGGAAGGGGCTATATCCGCTAAGCCACAATGTGCAATGTCGCCATAACGATTTTTTTTTTAACAGGCAGAGTTAGACAGTGAGAGAGAGATAGACAGGTCTTCCTTCCGTTGCTTCACCCCCCAAATGGCCGCTACAGCCGGCATGCTGCGCCAATCCGAAGCCAGGAGCCAGGTGCTTCTCCTGGTCTCCCATGCGGGTGCAGGGCCCAAGCACTTGGGCCATCCTCCACTGCCTTCCCGAGAGCTGGACTAGAAGAGGAGCAACCGGGACCCCCGTAACGATTTTGTTTAAAGAGGAAATTATGAAAAATCAGTTTTAAAAGGAATGTTAGAACCAGATTTCCTCCACTAGCAATGCAGGAATACAAGGCAGGCATTCAGCAC